GGCTCCTGCTAAGGCCGGCGGTGGCCGGCGGCGCTATCTGCGTCGTTTCCTTTTTGAAGGCATCGCCGTGGAGAAGTTCAAGGCCACTCTCTGCTACCTCCGGAGGAAACCACAGATCGGATGATCGGATGACGGCGGCGCTCTGGTGTAGTTCCTTCCTTGGGGTCGTCATTCTTGGAGGTACACACGTGATTGAGGGACCAGAGAACGAATTCTTTGGTGGAGCGGTGCTTCATCCTACACACTGATGGCGACGGATCTTGACGGCGTGGCGCAGTGCAGATTCGGAGTTCGATGTGGGAGGATGGACTCGCGCAGGAGGACGACGCTGCCGGGCGTCGTGGTGACGTTGATGGCAGAGAGACCTGGCACGGTACATGCAACAGTACATCTCTGAAGATGTATTTGTGGCAGGTGGTTGCGGCGGCCTCATATCCGGTAGGCCTCCTGGTTGAGGAGTGCGCCGGACTGGTAGATGCCCCATATCCGGCAGGTGTCCTGGTTGGGACCTCAGGTCTTAGATGTTTAGGTTTGGTTGTGATGTCTGTTTAGTATTAGGCCCAAACTATCTGCACCCCTTCATCGATTGGATATGTGTAGGGACAGTTGTTGCTTAGACGGTGGCTTTAGTTTTGCTGTTGTATGATTTTATACGGTCTTGTGAGAATAATTAATAAAATCGTTGTATGCATCGCCCAGATGCGAAGCCCGGGGCTATCCTTCTTTTTAAAAAAGAAGACGTACGCACACTGCCCATGCATATACGTACGCCGTTCTACGTCTTGCCTGGAGACCCTGAGCAGCAAGTGTGTACGTGGCGCATCACAAGAGTAAAATCTCTGTTCGATATATATATAGCTCATACCAGTATTGCAGTACGATCCACTGCCTCGTCTGAAAAGCGTAAGCCAGGACCTTCACTGTGACGAGCAGGAGCAGGTCAAGTTAGTTGCGGAGTCGCGGTTGATCAGAGCGGGAGTTTGAACAAGTTTACACCGTACACCTTGCTACTAATAATAAGGATCTGGGATCTCACGGTCTTAGATGTTGGTTCCTGACATGAATTTACAAGCAAGCCCAGATGGGGATCTATATTGCAGCCTTCGGTTACATGCACAAACTTGCAGGCAATGGTTTATGCAGCTGGCCGGGGTGAGACTATAATGCATGCCCTTTAAAAAGAGAGAGAGGGACTATGATATTTGGCACACGTGTGCCACATAGCTAAAACTATCATACACCTCCTCTTTCCTCTTTAATTACGTGTGCCACATCTAATGAAGCAGTTGGTAGTCTTTGCTCAATTTTCGTCCCTCTGCTGGTTTTTTTTTCGTCCTTAAGAAATCAAAGAAATTTCGTAGGTTAACCAGCGACAACGAAAAAAATCCCCTCCTCCTGCCGGTGCGCCACCACTCCCGCCTCCTTCCGGCGCGCCGTCATCCCCGCCACCTAACTGCGCGCCGCCGGACCCTCCTTCTTCCCTGGAGCGCCGCCACCCTGCTGCCCCCGCCGTCTTCCCGAGCGCGCCGCTGCCGCCGTCTTCCCCAGAGCACCACCGCCCCACCACCCCCGCCCACGGGACCAGTGGTCCCATCGCCGGTCTCCCCCCACCCAGATCTGCTGGAGGCGCACCGAATCCTGCCTCATTGCCGGTTCCGCGACTCGGCCGCCGCCCCAACCGCTGCAGCAGCCGAGCACCTCCACTAGGTGCCCCGATGGTTCAGACCCTCACCTGGCCCCTCCCTCGAACCCAGCGAGCCTCCGCCCGGCCTACTTCCCGCGCGAGGTCGCCTCCGCCTCCTCCTGGCGCATCGCCGCCCCCACCATCTGGATCGATGTCCCACTTGAGTTAGACGTGAACGATATGTTGAAGAGCAAGGGGGCACATGCTATTTCAGACCCTGATTCGTTTTCTCAGGTTCTTTTCCCTTCTGCAAATTCCACCCTCCTCATGATTTTGTTATTTTTGTTTTATTGAGACGGGGTGACTTAGATAACTGTGATTCAGATTCAGCAGACATACTAAAAGGGCTGGTTCTCTTTTGGCTCTGCATTGCTTCTTAAACATCAGTCTAATTTAATCCATCCGTGTAAAAACTGGATCCAAATTTGGTCTGTAATGCAACAAGTGTAAACTCAGAGTGTGGACTTTGCGGGTCTAGCTTCAGTGTGTGCTGTGTTCATCATGGTTATGTCCATGCTGCATATGAATGGAGCATCCTTGTGCTCGTGTGATCTTGCTTGTATACACCCTTCACATAAGATGGATACAGAGCCTATGATACCTTGCATTTGCATTAAAATGGACAATCTTTTTGCTAAGACCCTGGACTTTGTTCGTTCTGACATGTGCATCTCGAGCTTACGATCTATTGAATCACAGTGGAGATATTATGCGTGCAGGCAATGGCAAAGCTCCGTCAGCGTTATGATGATCTGAAAGAGCGGTATGCAGTTTCTGATGTTACTGTTTCAGTACAGAGTAAGCCGACAACATCCAACATCCTTTCTTCACTTTGAACATAGTTGATGTGTTTTCTATGGTTGGGGGAAACCCTATTGACGTTCTCTTGAACTGAACACCTTCCAGACGTGGCTTCTCAGCTAGGCTACAGCAGCATCGACTCTTTGAGCCTGGAGGACATGGTCATTGAGGTTTGCAATATAAGCATACTATAGACAGAACTGTGTCTACACAATTGGACAAAGGGCAAAAATTGCAGCTGAATATGGGACCTTTTTTTGTAAATAACTTCTCGTGAAATACTTGTCATCAAATGCAAGAGGGGTCATCGAGGCTGCCCGCAACCCGATGCCCTCCACGGACACCACCACCATGATGGCGGAAGGAAGAGTAAGAGGGGTCGTCGAGGCTGGGTGCCGCCGTGAGGATGCTGGCGCCCGTGCACGTTGATGGCATTGTGGCGGAAGGTCTTCTTCCTGGGGAGCCGCGCCCAGCCTCAGTCTCCACCCGCGGCCACGCTAACAAGATAGGTACGCCGCCGCGCCCTCGACATATTCCCTACTCCGGTGCACGTATGGTCAAGCATGTATCGCTTATCTTGCCCCATACGACCTTGGCAGATCTCAATGCTTGCTTGCTAATGTGCGCGTGTGGATGTTGCTGGTTGCTGCTGCTGTGCACGTCTGCTTGGTGTGCCCCTGCTGTTTTGTGTTCTCACCACCACATCCATGACAAATAAAATTTCTTAGTTTTCTTAGAATGGTTTGTGCCATGATCTTCATGCCAGGCAGGGTTTACATTACGCATGTGGACAACGGGATTTTGATGTCCAGTTAAACTATCACATGGTTGTGCATGTGCACTATCTATTAAACCGACAATCATTGTTTTCAGGTTCAGGTTCGATATGTCAGGGCTAAAGTACGCTCCTGAGTTAAAGAAATACCTCGAGAGACACTGTAGGTACGGTGCTATTGTTAGTGTGTTGTTGTCAGTACTACTCCAATACTTTGGTGTGTGGTTGCATAGTACTCCCTCCGTCCGGAATTACTTGTCGGAGAAATGCATAAAAATGAATGTATGTACAACTAAAATACGTCTAGATACACCCATTCCTCCGACAAGTATTTCCGGACGGAGGGAGTACTCCAATACTTTGGGGTAGTAAAAAATGTATTCGTGGTGGGAAAGCATCAGTCGTTCGTATTTGCAGAATAGCGAAATCAATAAATATTACCATTAAGAAAGCATGCATGGTATAGTGAATACTTAGTATAGCAGTCATATTTTCTTGTCAACATGCACCTATTTGGAGGCCTATCCGATATTATTGCAATCTGGTAGAACTGACATATACTCCCTCCGTCCGGAACTACTTGTCATCAAAATGAATAAAAGGAGATGTATCTAGATGTATTTTAGTTCTAGATACATCCCTTTTAGTCCATTTTGATGACAAGTATTTTCAGACTGAGGGAGTACTTTACTGGAGCTAGCACCTCATGCATAGTTATTGTATCAACCAGAAAGAAACTTCCGATCTACCATTTTACAAAACCAAATTGTATAGTGAGTAATTGAAGTGAAGTTGTTTTGGGCACCCAAAGATAATTCTGTTTGTATATTCCTGCCACTTGTATGGTTACAAGAAGCTAAATGTTGTTTTTCTTTTTTATGTTCTATAAATTATTTCCATGGTTATCTCCGATACAGTTTTAAAATGATCTTTTTGGACCAATTATATTAGCTCAAGTTGCCATTTAGTTGAGTTCAAGTTCAGACTTGGCTGCCATTTTAGTTCAGTTCAGTTAGGAGCAACGTTTAGCATTCTAGCTGTATGATATGATGTCTACACATTTCCCTCTTTTCTTTTTGTGTAATGTAATTCCAGACTCTTTAGGTTAACCACTGCCACTAATTCTCTAATGGATATGCCATGTGCATAGGAAGGGTGCGCCAGTTTTTCCTTATCTTCATCTGAATTAAATCCGTCCAGTGTGTATGCAGGAACTAAAGACATGTATTAGAGAATGAAGCATCAATCATCTTCTTGCTTATTGTTTGTCAAATGCTATATTAAAGTACTGTATCAATTCCTTTGTTATTTACACGAAGGGACGGATTAAGACCTGTGGGATCATGGCTCTTTCAGCTTGAGCGTAAGCCTCTCCGGCTGTTCCATTTACATTATAATATCTTCATGTGACAATTATGTTTATTTTCCATCCTTTTTCAGAGTATTTGCGATGTATCCTTCACTTACCATGCCACGGGGTTGTTGCGGATATTGGTGGAGGACTTGGTGGTCTAGCGCAAAATGGAATCCTAGAAAGAAGTGAAACTAATCAGCTATGGTCAGTCGGCAGAGGCGCATGCAGGTTTGTGCTTGAGGGTGCACGCGAGCCGGTGGCTACAGGCAAAGGGTACGGTCTGTGTGTGCGTGTTGTGCATAGTGTTGTGGTCGCCTGATTTGATTGTAAATCGTGTAGAGCAAAGGAGGCTTCTGTGGCGCCGGAGCAACAATTTCAGTGAGCACATGGACTTGATGCAGGGAGGGTCGTCGAAGATAAGGACGGCGGCCCGGCCTACACATGATGGAACACACATTGCCGACGATGCGGTACCAGGGCTAGAGAAGAGATCCCAAGGCATGCATGAAGCCTTCTTAGTTAGTTTTTTAGTTGAGCGACTGCATAACTGAAGAATTTTGTGTGTGTAGTCTTTCAAAGTTGATTCAGACATAGCCTTACAATTCAAGAGCAACGGTGTCTGAACTTTTCAAAATTATATCAATTATTATACTGTTTTTGGATTGTTGATGAGAGATGTAGATTTGTGATACTGGTTGCAATGAAGTTTGGTTCAGTAATTCAGTGTTTAGACATACAAGATACTATACTATAGCTCAGGATTAAAAAAATTGGTCACTTTGTTTCATTCTAGAATGCCCGCCGCAGTACTGCATTGCCACTATCTTCAAAGACGCGTCGCTGGATGTTGTTAGGGATTTCTTCTGGGATGATGACTTCCGGGTCAAGAACACTTGGGACAATATCTGCAGCACGAGATTGAACGACGGGTGCACAAAGACTGGAACAATGGTTGTTTGCTGGGTCAGGAAGGTGAGGTATCTGCGTGATATCCCTGGCAATATTTCTGGAATGCATTACAAACTATATAAGTTTTGCCGTCACTGCTTGCCTTGCCTGTGCAATTTCCATTCTTCTGCAACGACAGGGAGTATGTTATCGGTCGCAGGGTCTGGGCATCGGGAAAGACGTACTACTGCGCTAATAAGGTATGTGATGAAATAGTACAACTTTATATGTTAGGGTTCCTTTACGACAGGGAGTATGTTATCGGTCACGTGATTGCTTTTACAGCCATTTTCAGGGTTCCTTTACTACTATACATGAGATGGAAACTCTTCCTGTTTTTGTTCCATGTTCCCGTTTGCAAATTTTCATCACGTGATTGCTTTTACAGCCATTGCCGCTTCGTCCATATTTGGTTATGATGCACTGCATTCTATATCCATCAGTTCCAAGCATATTTCTCCTTTCTATCTGTAGTTCCTCACACTAGATAAGCGAAGGACGATGCATAATATGATCCCTCCCTCCCTCTCTCTCTCTCTCTATATATATATATATATCTAAATTCATGGTAGCAAGAATCACTACGTACTGATACTAATTAAGCTATACCTTTCAGGTGTTTTATGAAATGTCCTCCGTCCGAAAATACTTGTCATCAAAATGAATAAAAGGAGATCACAATGTTGGACACGACCACCTAAGAATTGAATATTTTTAGTTGGAATACTATTTTAATGATCAATCACAATGTTGGACGCGACCACCTACTTATTCCCGAGACTTTAAGTCTTTGGTGGCTTAAGCACAATATGCCCGGCATATGTTCTACATCTGCGGCATGTAATGACCCTACTGGCATTTCAAGAGGTCTGTAAATACAACACTCTTCCAAAGTATTTCCAAGTAAGTGTTCACCTCATGAGATTTATTAAATGTTTTAGATATCTCGCTTGTGAATGCTCATCGGCAGCTAATATCCTGAGTATTTTGATAACGGGTTTAGGTTTGGACGGTTATTGAGCCTGCATTGATGAAATAGTTGACGAAGAAGGAACTGAAATGAGGTTATTGAAGCTGCATTTAAGAATCTTGGTTGATGAGCTGATATCTGACCAAAAACTCAAGAACTAGAAGCAAGCCTGACATCCTTTTTCTGTAATCGGTATGTTCTCGGTAGCAACCCTGTCATCCTTTTCTATCCACATGATGCTTAGGGGGCGTTTGGATTAGCACCAACGCCGACCCTATCTGTTTTTTGGCATGCCCTTGCGATTTGGGCCCTGTTTGGACCATCGCCAAAATATTGGCTCGCCCTGGCTCGCCCCGAAGGCTCAGTGTTACTTCTGCCAACTCGTGGGCGCATCGAGGGCGCCGAAATTGGTCGCCAAAAAATTGGCGAGCACGTCCCTCGCCGGCTGATACGAGGATCTCGTGTTAGTTTTTTTAATCTTGTATAGTTCGAACAATCGGTGCGGCGGATTAATCGGCTGAGTATTTCTTTGGGTCGTTCTGATCACTTAGATCGCGCAACTAATTCTGTTTAGCACAGTCCAATAGCCGGAGAAGAAATAGTACTACTAAATTACGGTTGTTTGTCTCTTTTTCTTTTCTTGCGAATGAAATTGTCTCTGTTTTCGTAAAGGCAGCGCAAGTTTCGTTGAGCACAAACGTTGTATCTTTTCATTGTTTTTGTGAATGACCCATTTCATTTCTTTCTGCATGCTACAGTTAATTAAGTGTCCATATTACAAAAATAAAGTTTTGAGTTTATTTGTTATTGGCTCAACATTATAACTAAAAACACAAATCAATTCAAGTTGTCAAACCAAATGTAATATCTGCCAACATTTTGGAAGGTTCAGTGGCTATAAACCAAACAATAACAACTTGCCAATTTTTTGGTCATGCCCTCACTTTGGTCATGCCAAAAATTTGACAGGGCAAATTGGGGCACAAACCAAACACACCCTTACTGTTTTTTGTACTTGTTCATCACCAATCAATAAAACATTGTGTATTCATTGCATATGGTGAATGGCCTTCTAGATTTGTGAATTCATAGGTAGTTATACAACAGCAGAGCCATGTTCTAAAAACAGATTCGATCCTTTCCTTGGTTTGGAGTTGGGTCCCGAAGAAACGTTCGAGCGCATGAAATCAGTTCTTTTCAAGAACGCAATTGCTTTTTTTCTCTCATAGATTCCACTCGTAACATATCACAAGTATCTTCAGTCTAAGGAAATAAGAAAAGTGAACTTACATGATTTATTTAAATTACTAAATAACTTACTAGATAATGTATATTTCCGTTTGAGCATTCCAAAAACCGAATGCCACTCCATTAAGCTGTAGGATGCATAAGGTAAGGGAAATATAGGAAGCCCAGACATCTGTAGTAATAACAAAAGTGGAAGAACAAGGGCAAGAAAATATGTAAAAGGGCCAATGATAGGCGGAAAAAGATTCACGTGGTTAATAGTTCATGTTTTGCACCAAGGAAGAACGAAGGAATGGAACCAAAGAGAAATGAGTGAGCATACACCTTTGCTAGATATTATGAACTGAATTAATGTACAAAAACACATATTGTTATCTTGGTGCATGTAGTTATTTAATTTAACAACTTGAATTCCACATGAAGCGTACTGTATTGGACTTCTCTGGGCTTTACATGTGCTCATATTCCATAATTTGGATCAGAAATGAAGCCTATGCGTATGTATAAAGCATTTGCATTATACTAATATTGTGTGTGTTGTTTTCATGAACTCCATAGCAGATATCCCGATTCAAAGTAATATAGCCAGAGATGTTAACATTTTTTGTTGGAAACACAAGCACTAATTTTTTTTATTGCATTTGAACTAGATATGGTTGTATCTTAGAGATTGTTGCTTTGGACAGGATTTACTATATTTTTGCAGCAGGCTACATGCTTCTCTGAATGACCATTTAAGGAGTGAACATGAATTGCTGATGTGTATGTTCCATGCTCCATGGGGAGGGAACAAGGATTGATTTTCGCCAGGAGTAGGGAGAGTATGGTGAGTTACTTCTATGCTTTAAGGGGCTTCCAGAACTACTTGATTGTGAAACAAGTCACTAGGTACTGCTCAGATGAATTATATGGATTGTACCACCGTCCGTCCAAGCTGTAGAAACTCCTATCCCTGAATTTCTATTTATTGGAACCATTAGATTTATTAGTATTTTAGTCATTACATTTCTACAGAGGCTATGTGAAGCAAAGAAACTCCTATCCCTTTTAAATTTTAATACATGTATAGCAACGACAACTAAAACCACGACAAGTAAATCGATTTACTTGTAAAGTACTACATATTTACTACATGTAAAGTACTACTCCCTCCGTTCCGATTTACTTGTAAAGTACTACACTGTTCTTTGTTACATATTTACTGCATATTTACAAGCCTCTTATCTTTATTACTACACTGTTCAGCTGTGAAATTGACTACAGCGTACATGCATACTTACCAGACTTGCCTAACAGAAGCACAAACACAAATGGACACTCTGCAGTTGTATCAGACACACCACCACAAGACATGTTGTGTGCGTCACAATTCTTAGCAGCGACCGTTACGACCGTCCAACGCCAAGATTGCTAGCGACAAGGATTTGAGGAGGACAAGACGGTAGCTATCGACAAGGATTCAAGAAGGACCAGATGCCACGGTAGTGGTTGTAATATTAGTCAAGACGAATCTGAAAAAATTGAGTGAAGTCGTGGAGATGTGGAGATATGATGGATTTTGCAAAAAAAAAAAAACAAGTAAACTTTTGCTACAGAGAACATATCGGTGTGCATGTACTGATTGCACTTGCTTCATGGCGCAATACGTTTATCCTGCTACGAAAAATGTATTGTTTTTTATTAGAGAAGGGGGGTTCCAAGGCAGAGATAGTGAGTAGAAGAAAAATTATCTACCATAAAAGACGACAAGGTCATATGATATGCACTAATTGCATTTTCTTTATGGCGCAATATGTTTATCCTTCTATTAAAAATGTATTTTTTTATTGGAGAAGGGGGCTTCAATGGCAGAGATAGTAGGAAGAAGAAAAGTTATCTACCATAAAAAGGTCACATGACATGCATGACGATCCTAAGGTTACATGTTAGCCATGTTTTTAAAGGAAAGGGTTCCAATAAAAAAAGTCTCGCTATGGCAGGAAAACGAGTAGTAAGGGGAGGGCCCGGCAGAAAAAAAAAGAGACCATGTGTTGGTGATAACAGTCGGATAGTTTGGACAACCATATTTCTCCTCCAGAGTAATGCTACATCTACGTGAAGTTCTTTTATGGGTTCAACGGACTATCGACTGTGGACCAACATGATTTAAGATCAGGGAAGGATGGGGCCAACCCCAGCTGAAAATTAGGGGGAGAAAGATGAGTTAGAAGGAGATTCTCTAAAACTCTCATAAGGGTCCGTGCGTCTAGGATTATTGTCTCCTTCATATATGGTGTGTATTTAAGATAGTCCAGACTGTTTAGATGGATAAATTTTATGAAGACAAATTCATTCTTATGCATTATGGCCCGTAGCAACGCACGGACATTTTACTAGTTGCATTAGAATGAATCACCTTTCTTTCACGGGCATTCATTACTCTAATTACATGCATGCATCAGAAGACAAAAAAGCTGATCTCATCCTAGATTCTCCTTATTCCAAAAATTTAAAATGTTTTGTAGCTCAAACCGCCAGTCCGATGCAAAAACCGTTTTGACGTAGAAGACTCGTCACGACGAGTTATTCAAAACTAGATCTCATGTTGGTATGTTTCGACGTATTTTTTTCCAGATCAAAAGTTACCACGCCTTGGCTACATAAGTTATCACACATGTAGTATGCAACTTACCGTGGTATTTCACATAAATTACCGGAGGCATAAACATTGTTCTCACATCTTCTCTACATGCATATGTATGTATGCACTAGAGCACAAAAAAGTCGATGTCATCTTAGATTCTTCTTATTCTCAAAATTCAAAATGTTTTGTAGCTCAAACCATCGATCCGATGCAAAACCGTTTTCACATAAAAGATTTGTCGCCACGAGATCTTCGGAACTATATCCCATGTTGGTACGTATATTCCGACGACTTCTTTTTCTGGGTCAAAAGTTAACATGCCTCGGCTACATAAGTTACCACCCCTGTAGTATGTTATTCACCGTGGTATTTATACATAAGTTAACAAGGTTATATTTTTCAGCAATTTTTCCCCCTTGGTCAAAAGTTATAGCGGTGTTTGTACTTAAGTTATCAGGTATGTAATTCGTGCATTACCGTGCTATTATTACATAAGTTATCAGGGGGAGGGGGTTATGTTTCCAACAACTTTTTCTCTCCTTTGTCAAAGTTACCGCGGTATTTGTACATAAGTTATCAGGTACACTGTTCTTTAAGTATCGTGCTATTTTCACATAAGTTATCGGGGGATGTTTTTAACAATCCCACCCCCCTTTGGTCAAAGTTACCGTGATGTTTATAAGTAACTTATCGGGCATGTGGTTCATATATTACCGTGCTATTTTCACTTAAATTATCAATTATGTTTTTCAATAATTTCCCCTCCTTGGTTAAAGTTACCGTGGTGTTTGTAAGTAGGTTATCGGATAGATGGTTCGTATAT